ATGTGGGTATTTATGAAAGAGACCATAGAAGCGAACAGCCGATTAGCTAAGCACATAAACAATTTGTTCTTCCAAGACATCTTTGAGCGATAATTCAATGGTTGTAATTTTCCATTCCTAGGTCTTAACAGCAACCGGTAGGATAAATTTATCATTATCTTATTAACTGGGTACGAGCTACCAGACATCCATTCCAATGGTGATGACTTGTTATCGCGGTATAAAAAAGAATTGTGTGTGCAATGATCTAGAGATCACACAGCTTCACAGCATCGCAGCAGGATTTTCACGAACACTCACGAAATATCTAGTTCATCAATAAGAACTGGTTAAAAATGGTTCCAGTAAAAACAGTAAGTGACATGTTACAGTTAATTCCAGCAGAGTCATCTTAGTGTCGGAACACAAGGGTATCGTGCTAATCGTGAAACACAAGACGTGTGCAAATAACACATCGGAGAACAATGTGCAATGATGACAGTAGCATCACAAGGTGAAATTTTACACTAAGCAATCAAACCCCACAAACAAAAGTTTTTCGCTCTATTTGAAGCAAAAATTAGTACATGACTGGAAGAACCCTAGAGTAAAGCATATGTGTTCTCCGTGACTGTAGGTGTCTAGTATTCCAAAAAGGCTTTCATCGAGAATATGTGTGTACATCGATATAATCTACCTGGAATTTCTAAAGCTTTCAATAGCTTGGATCACCAAAACCTGTTCCAAAGGATACACTGTTATGGAATAAGACATCAGGTGCTTGAGTGGATTGGTAACCTTCTTCCCAACGCAGGCTACAAGTGCATGTTAGGGGATTCCTCTTTAGCCCATCGAAGAGGAATGCGGTGTTCCACAGGGTTTCAGGGCCAGGGCAACGATTATCGCTAGGGAATATCAACGATCTTGCAAGTTATTGCCTCCAAGTTCCTGCATTACGCCGATAATGCAAAGATATGAGGAGCGATCCCTTAGCAATAAATTTTACGATTTCCTCCAGTGTATCCTGGATGACGCCATGAGCAGTCAACGAGGAAGCTACTCCCAATTAAGTCGGTTACATGCAAGGTCTCATCAACGGATGAGCGTGTACAAACTTAAAGAATGCATCTCGCAGAAAGCTACTCAGTAGTATGGCCTTGAGATATTGGTTCACGACGTTGTCGGGTGCTCCATACAATCAAAAAAGGCATCAAAAACCGGTAGTAAACAAGTTCGTTATGTTTGACTCAGCAAAACTTTCGCAAATGTTTAAACTCTACGTGCAACCACATGTGGAATCCGCCATCCAGGCTTAGCAATTGTGACAGAAATAAGATCTTGCTACTCTCGAGCTTCTTCGAGGAAGTGTATCGAAGGACGTTACGGAATTCTTACAGCTGTCTTATAAGGTCAGATCCAAATCCTAAGGAATGTACAGCAGTCGATATCGGCGCTCGTGGAAGGACCTCCTAATGGTTTACCAGGTTCTCAAGGATCAAAACCACATTTGCTGTAACTAGACCAAGACATCGGTGTGAGCGGTCATCATTTGTAGCTGGCAATACATTATAGCCGGCTGCAAAGCCGTCAGAATTTCTTAACTTTCCAAGCGTGTCAGTCATTTAACGCTCTCCCAGCTCATTTTGTTTCTGTTCCCAGCCTAAAGATATTAAAATACACTTTGACGAAGCGTTATCCCATACAGATTTAATTGTAGAACTTTTGTTGTTCAGGCCTATAACGTAATCTAAAAGTGTGTTTTGAAATCCTAACCAGGTGGATACAATTATGATATAATTTGATCGTCTTGGCTCCTTCATGCATGCCTCAAATTACGAACGATATGGGGAGTCAAGCAAAATGCTTTTCCTTTTATCATTATGCTTTCTTTTCTCAATAAGTTCCATCCCATGGAACCTGTGAAACAATACTTTTCTTTACCTTTTATACCATTTTTCTATTTAAGCTTCTGGTAAATACTTGGCTTCCAAATGCAATCCTTTATAACCAAAACCCAGACCAAGTTTATCGGCCAAACATGAATAATACCTGAATTTGTAGAAGCACAACAGTAACCTCTTTGCTATCTAAAAGTAAAATGCACCAAATGTTCCCATAGGATGACCATCAGTCATCCTGAATTCCTCAGAATATACTTAACCCCTTGTTAAGAAAAATGATTACCTAATAGAGCGAGGTTTCGTTCTTTCAAGCCATGGTTATTTCGCGTACAAGGGTAGTATTAGTGTTCTACACAATAGGCATACTCACATGAAAACGGTCGAGGAATTGGAAGTAAAGAACGTAGATATAATCTGGATAAAAGCGATGCCAAGGCTTGGCAAGCCCAATAGGATGGCCTGTGTGAAATATATAACTTCGAAATAAAAATTATGACAAGGTAAACCGCGTCTGTTAAAATATTAGCTACTTTACCCACTTGTAGATCATGCTACTCTGATTTTGTGGGGTCTAGTAAGTCAGTGTTTTTCACCTCTTGGCCGCACTCAGTGCGTGGGAGTCATGCCAAGTGATGTATATGCTGCAGCGTATCATCGAGAGGCCTTTAATAATGGGAACCGTGGACGCAGAAATGACTTAAGTCCGAAGAGCATTCCATGGCCGACAAAATATGGGGGAAAGTATTACAGCAACATTCTAGCCGATGGTGTCTGGGCTAAGCCGAGCAACAAGAACACATATGAATCCGAAAATAACACATTATGAATTCGCTCCTTTTAATCTAAGTATGGCTATAAGAACCGAACGGGTTTTCTCAAAATGCTACTTGATAAAACGTTAATACATGTTTCGAAAATAGATATATCTCCTCAGCTCACTCTAGTTTGGTTGATACGCCGAAGCTGAATTACGCTATGCCACGTGACTCACGCAGAACCATTAGTTGTGATGTAACTAATGATGTGTTCATTCAAACTCCTATGTCCAGAGATAAAGGAAAACATCCGAGTAGACTGCAGCATCCATAGTATTTGGACTGATGAACTGAGGTCTGTTCCCCCGAAACCATGGAGTGTGTTTCAATAGGTTTCAGAAAACTAATTCGTTCTATGAGGTCAATACACCAGCACCGAAACTAACTTTGCTATTTGCTAGATGCGGTAGGCGTATAAGTTTTAGGGACACCAGGAAATAATTACTTTTGTGGAACGGTGGAATTTTATAGAAACGTAGCGTACAGCGTGGACTCTTACTGCAAGAAAATATGATAACTTGGTGCCTGACAGAAATAAAGCGGCGATTCTCGGCGATTGACGTCGTGGAAACCCACCATATAATGATTGGAAACTGATTTGCCGTTGCTTAGAAGCTGCGGTTCCTCGCGCTTACTTTCAACATTCTTCTAGGTTTATTGAATATACGGACAGCGGAAAAGCGAACACCACCATATATGTTTTAGTGGGGATAATTCTGAGACGTGAACAGATGCATTATAATATGTTCGCTTTACGTACACTTTATTTGAACCGGTTATGCGAGAACAAATAGGCTATCGAGTAAAGTGATTAATTAGTGCAAAATGAGTATACATGGTTTAGTAAAGAGAATAAATCTTACTACCGTTTCTGCTGAGGATAAGCGGAACTGTATAAACTAACCAAATACCGTCAGCATGTTGGTCCGAGTGAAATATAAACTCCGACTTCCTTGATCCTTAGGTAAAATTACCTAAGATTCTGCAGAAAGCTTAGTTGTCCTTATTCCAAAAGGTATAGAATATTGTAGAAGTAGCAGTCTGTAAAACGATTTAATTAAGGCTCTGAAAAGTACAGACGAGCGTCAATTCTATTTGAATGTTGTGAATCTACAAGTACACATACTACGTGCCTTGCGTTGCGCAAAGATGGGTCATTGATAAAGCTACATAGTACTACTACTACTACTACTACTACTACTACTACTACTACTACCGAGAATAAAGTCCAAAATCAATACTAAGTGTTGACCACATGTAAAATCGGCAGATTGTATGGCCACAACGTTCCTCAGTACCGTACCTGCTTATGCAATATAGTTTAAAGAGGAAAGCGAGAACATGGTGTAGTTATGCCTAAAAAACAGTGACACGCTCTGAAATATCTTAGCATTCATCATTGCATTAAAGCAATTCATGAGGTATCAATTGGGCTCTACAAAAGGCCTGAAAGCTTCTAGCTCTCAACCTGTCAATAGCTTCGAGACACTTTTAAGACGTCAGCAGCACTCACCAAAACAGCTTAAGTGAATATGTACAGCATTTTGATCAAGCGTTCGTTCACGATGCCTTGGGTGGACGACCTCCTTTTGCTCTCTCTGGCTCTACAGGTACGCCAAATATTTGCTGTAATATTTTCTGTCCACTGAACAGAGGAACTGCGATGGATACGCACACTGTAAGGTTAGCCGCACGTTAAAAGTCTTCCAATTCATAGCAGTCGCAGTATCCACCATTAAACGTCATACAAGTTACCTATTGCTAAGGAATGCTAAAAGCCCTCACACATACATACTAATCCTGTTTACTTCTTATTGATATCAACTAGGAGCATTTGTCGTTAATAGGATACTTAAAAAGTATCCTTTGTTTACATGGTAAGAACAAGACTCCATTCAATTTTGTGACTTAGCGGGATTGGTAGATAAATTCCAAAGTTCGGTTCGTTGCAAATTTGGTACTAGACGACACGAGGTCAAACTTTATGGCGCTCAGATTCGTAAGAAGGGCCATCACCAAAAACCACCCACGAATGTGATTACTGCTCCTTCACGACGCGTTCAATTTTATAACAAAACGGATTTAAACTCTTAAGCCAGTTAGAAAATCTCGAACATTTCTACCGACTCTGTACTACCTTTCACCCCGAGTAAACAAATGCACCTGACAAATGCCGTCTGATTGACAGGGCATACAATTCATTATCGCAAAGCTGATAACCGCCTTATCACAGTACCGGATGAGGTTCGTGTGGTTGTGCATTTGCACGGAGACCCAACAAACGTAAGAAATAACATTAACGTACCAAGCTTCCGCGACCACTTGACTCGTTTCGCGCAAACCACCTTCAAACACACTGGGTGCAATGGATAAGAGTAGGAATATGTGTCCAAGGCAACGAGTTGGAGATCCAATATGTGGTCGCCGTGTTGATTGTATCAGATGCATAACCACATTGACGACTGGGAATGGTGCAGATTTAAACTCGCTTGGCACTGCGATTTGTAGTTTGTTTCGGGTCACCAAGTCTGTATTTGTTAGTCCGAGAAGATAGATCGCTATTGGCTAATGTAGTAAGAAAGTTTTCACAAATTCTGAGGGCAGATGTCACTAAATTTGCGCACATATCCGTCACACATATTGCACATTGGTAGGCAAGGTGCAGGGGAGGAGGGACGGCGGCGGTGTATGTTTGATAGATGCCCTTGTAGAAAATGTGTAAGATGGCCGGATCGCTGCCACTCTCAGCTGCACCGCTTATGACCAAGGCAGGCAATGATTACGTGTGATTCTCTGTTCGGTTTAGTATACACCTTATGCTCAAACAATTAAGCTGCACGCATATACCGCACGATCACAGGTGTTATCTGGACAGGAAAATTATGTTTTGTAAGAGACACACAGGTAGATCAACTGATCACGGGGATAGTGGTGGGGAGGGGGATAATGTATGGCATGATCTGAAAAATATTCAGCCAGATGTGCACTACACAATGTGGAATAGTGATTTTGGGACCGGCAAGAATTTTCTAGTGAGCTGTCTATATTATTGTGAGGCCGAAATCAAGGACTAGATTGCCGACTGTTGCGATTCCACATGGAAAGAAAAATTGTCTAGCTCTTTCTTGTATCGTTCAGCATCTGCAACTAAACCCCAATCGCATGGGACCTTAACGCTGCATTATGATTGGTTGCTTTCGAAGGCCATCTAAATTGAACGCTACGGCTCTAGATTTGTAATCTTAGTTGGCAGCCGCATGCGGAAGTTGAACAGTAAGCGTTTCGCAAACTGAAATTAAAAGCTGAGATCCAAGTATATAATTCAAGGTTTAATGTTGATTTGGTAGTAAAAGTCTAACTGGTGGAATATGACGATACTGATATCTTATTTTGTGTGAGTTCAGGAGTCAGTGAAGGCAGAAGAGAACGACAAGTAGGCAGCATCCCATCATCTCTCGTTATAATTAAACACCACATCTGTCATATTAGTCCACTGGTTTTTAACTGCTCTTAGAGTTGAAAGAACAGTAGCAGTGGAAAATCCCAGGAACATCCGCCGCGAAAACATTCAAACAGGTGAATATAAATACAACGTGCACCAAACAGATTTTCAATGAAGATAAACTGCATGCATGGGTTTCCTCAAGTTCGAGCATTCTCATCTTCAGTATTAAAGGCTAAGTTAACAGCTTTCCAGCAATAGAAAACCGACAACCTACCTAACTGTTATGGAAATTTTAAAGCGTTTCCGGCAATCTAGTGTTGAAGTGTTGCATTAGCACTACGAGACACTCCTCCTCTGGCGCAGATGAGATGTGCTTGAAGCGATTGTTGCTCAATGCCAGAAACACGGATGTATCGTCGTCCCGGTTTTTCCAATGCTGTCTTAACAACATGGAAGTGCTCACTACATGGAAGCATGAGACCGTCACTCCCAATTATAAGGGCCAACAATTGTGAACTAGGAACACACTGCTTTATATAGTCATGAAAGTAGTAATTGCAGCAGGAATGATGCGTTATTTCGACTGCTGCAACATCATTGCAACGAAACAACACAACTGCTGATCATACAACTCAAACCTCTCGGTAGTCCGTTGCAAATGAGCTGGATACATCAATGCTGGGGAGAGATTTTACAACGCCTACATTGCTTTCTCGAATACTTTTGATAATGCGAATCAAAGGCTTCAGAACGAACGTTTCGGTTATCTACTCCTGGGCTAGATACGTGCCTCCGTAAGGTGCAGGGCGGAATCCCACTATTAACTACGGTCGATAGGTACACACCTACAGCGAGACAGGCGACTAACGCATTACGGGTACAGTACTCAGCTATTTTCAAAGGGGTAAAAGCCTCCAGCCTCATTTCTGCTTTTGTCACTACACCAATAATTTTGTTCGGCGTAAAATGCCCTGCAGAAACGGTGTGGAAAAAGCTGGTATACCTGCATACACAAAACTCTCCTGGATTGAAAATATTCATCATACAGCACCACAGGAAGCAGTTACACCCTTAGCCGAACAACTAGCTAGATTCTATCATATTTCGTTAAAGTCAAAAAGTGGTATTACCGCCCTTATTCACAAAGGAGGAAGTGGATCTGAGCCTACCAATTACCACCTGGTAACGCTTCTCCCCGTGCTCAACAAGGTCATGGAAGCAATCATTGCAGACGCAGTGATGAGCTATCTAGAAAGCTACGCAAGCATGGCGCTGAAGCAGCAAGGATTTCCTCAACATCTATCAGGTACCAAGAACTTGTTGATAGCACATGATAGGTGGACGGAAGTACGCGACAAGTGGACATGAACCGATGTCATTTACCCGGCATTTACAAAAGCCTTCGATCACACGGATCAAGGAATCCTGCTTCACAAGGTATAGTACTGTGGCATCAGACATACAGTATTAGGATGAATCGGAAAATTTTTCTGCGAAAAGCAGTTGAAGGGTATGGTCCGAATATCTTTGTCCGACCCGATTCAAGTGGAGTGCGGCATACCGTAACGTCTGTTACTTCGGGCTCGACACTCCTTCAGAACGGAGGGTCTCTGATGCTCTGTTGACCCCATTGAATCTTCCAACGGACTCTGTCCAAATGTTGTCAAGATGACCGCGAAGAACAACAAAGCACCTCAATGGGTTGTTCCATCTTCCTTGTCGACTTAGGTTAAGGACCTTAAGATTGTACGGCGATCTGATAATGGTGGCCAGATTTTGAGGAACCTTACGGTGGGGGGGGGCACAATCCGGTACTCAATGGTTTCCTACCTTCCGCCTCAAGCCAGGTAGCCCCTGGTTAAATTGGTGCGCACTCGCCAAATCCCACCTGCGGTTGGCTGTGGTAGCATGTGCGCAACGTAATACGATCATAAAAGGTATGTGCGTTGTTCTAAATCTTCAAAGGGTGTGTAACAAATTTCAAGCAGATCCCAATGGGTCACTGCAATCACACTCTCAAAACTCCGGGTGAAGTCCCTCAAGCGAAGTTCCAAATCCCCTACTGCCTTGCGGATCAGACTATTGAGTCAAGGGCTAGAGGTAGAGCACCTCGAAAAACCCATCTCTCGGAATGGGCAGCCGGAGAGTGTCATCTGCCCTCTCGACCAGATCGACAAATCCTCTTATTATTATTTTTCTCCCCCTCAACTCTATTCTTCCCAGTCTGTTGAGCAAGAATCAGCCACTGACGCTGCTTTTACCAATGATACTGGTAACTAGTCCTTCAAACTGCGAGTCTCATTTCACATTGGTTCTTTTAACGTCCGCACTTTGTGTCAGGTCGGTCAATAGGCAGCACTGACTCTCACTTTTCCCCCTTGGTATTGATGTGTACTGTGTCGCCGAAACACGTATATAAGATAACAGCGTCGTGACAAATCTTCGACTCACTGGTGCTGAATCTGACGACCATGACTAACCTCTTCGCGCCTCTGACGATACCGAGTCCATCGTTCCAGATATTTAGGGTGTTGGTATCACCATCAGCAGACAGGCTGAAGGTAAGCTACTTGACTGTATACCGGTGAACAGCTGCATGTGAGCGGTCCGACTTCGAAGTTTGATTGGGGCTAATAAGTACCGCAAGAAGACAAGGTGCTTTTCAGCCTCGTGGTTTATGGTCTTACTGACTGCATTTCGGAGGGTACTGAACATGATTTCTACTGACATCTTCCATCTCTTCTCCGCATGGCGAAGCTTACTGACATCGTGATTGGTGCTGGTGAGTTAACTTCACAATGAATCCTTTTTCAGGTTCTGAACAATACTGGGACGGCGCTTCGGAGTCAATGCATGCCGAATAAACAATGATGCTCGATTTTTGCAACTGTGCACCGATCACAATCTTAATATTAGCAGCACTGCTTTCTAACACAATTCTCACACCGCATCACCTGGTGTCCACCGAATTCCTCAATGGCCTGCACCAAAATTGACTCCATTGCTATCAGCTACAGGTGGCGCACATCCCTCCAAGACTGCCGATCAACATGGAGCACATGCCTGAGTTTCGAGCACGATGTGGTGCGCGCAAGCTTGGCACTCACTCATGCTACTTCAAAGCAGCGCCTATCTTTTAACTTTCTTACTTATAAGTTGAAGATGCAGTCTGCGGTTCCACAATATCATAACGAACTAGCCCGCCATTTGCCAGTGATGAATGAGGTTGGTGGGTTGAACGCTGACTGAAATCGTCTCAAGTGTGCCATTAGGAATGCCTTTGACGCTTGCTGTACATCCGGCTTGAGACGTCGTAACGGTGAATGGATCTCTGAGGCATCGATCAGTTTGATGGAAGCGCGTAAACAGGTTCCGAGGGACACTGAGTTTTGATGTATCTGTAACTCCCAGAAACGACGTTTGACAAGGAGCCTTCTAGTTGACCGGAAAAGTTGGTGGGTTGCAAAGGCTCTTGATATGCATAAAGCCAGCGCTACTGGAAAGAGCCGAGTTCTATTCCAACTCATCCGGGACACGGGTCCGAGAAAGCCATTAGTTAGTGAGACAATAGCTGAGAAAGATGGACTGTTGATCCATTCTCAGCGTCGTCGACTTGTTCGTTGGCTCGAACAGTTTTAGAAGCAGTTCGGCAGTTCTGCTGTGAAACTGCCGCTTGCTGATTCACCTTAACCGATGTGGGAAGTTGATGTCACACCTCTCACTTTGGAAGAGGTCTAATATGAGCTCGCCATGTAAAAACGAAACCAAGCTCGGGGAACCGAAGACCGTCCACCATCTTTGCTTAAATATGGTGGCGACTCTTTGTTGACTGGTTATTCTTCTTTTTAACACAATCTGTGACACTGAAGAAATGCCTTTAGACTGTCGATTACCAGCAGCCGTGCTCAATTTCAAGCAGGGTCAGCCTTTTTTGAGCGAATAAGATCGAGGCATTAGCTTTATTTCCATTGCCTCAAAACTACCCACTGTCATTATTCTTCGACTACTTACTGGTCCCCATGAGGACCGAAGCACAGAAAGCTAGACTGGCTTACGTCTTGGTCGTGTTTGCATCGACCAGTTGTACTCTTTACCAAATTTTAGAACAGAGACATATATACAGACAACCGACTATGGTGGTTTTCTTTGACTTGAAAGTCGCCTTTAAGTTTCGTGACCACGCCAGCTTTCGGCACTACCTATGCATGAAGGACATGCCAACTAAACTCCTTTCCATGCTGAAGTCCCTCTACCGTGATTCTCGACGCCACGTAAGGGTCTAAGACGAAACTCTCCAGAGTTCACGACAAGTGGGGTTCACCAAAGCTGACCTATAATCCCTTTCATCTTCAACTCTGTGATCGAAATCAGCATGGATGACTCGGTTCTTACAAACTATTCTGGAGTGAAAGTTCTGCCGGCCGATCGACTGACCAACCCGGAGTATGCGGACGACATAGTTCTCATAGGATCTGATTCATTAGCTAGGCAAACACAACTGTAAAGACTTGTGCGTAGCGCCGCACGGTTTAGCATATACTTTGCACCTTCAAAATGCAATGTGCTGTTGTAGAACTGGACCGACACCTCACCGGTTCTAGCTGCCTCTAAACAGTCATTGGAAATGATGGATCGGTCCACT